CCACCACGTGCGCAACCATCACCCCCACCACAACCCGCTGACCTGACGTGGGACCATCAACAACAGGTGGGGGGCCCCCAACACCACGTGCGCAACCACCACCCCCACCACAACCCCGCTGACCTGACGTGGGAGTATGAACAACAGGTCGTGTATATCCTCAATACGAGGGCGACGGTCGAACTGTAGATGACAATCAGAGTGAGGGAAGTAGAAATTCCACCACCACCTTCACTAATCGACCTAACCGATCTGTAAAACCTATATATATCCTTTTGTATGGATCGGAGTTAACATGCAGCAGCTTTCGGACACCACAACTATGGACGGTAAGTCTCTACTTGGTTTACAGACAATTCTAATCAGTAATTGTACTTTTCCCCCCTACGCCCTACAGTCCTGTGTATTCAACTTCAAGAACGAACAGCCACGGTTAACTGTACATTTACTCGTTCGTTCTTACACTTGTTTTTCATGTTGGACTACTACGTGAACATGTCATCATACCACTTTCTTCCAAAGACTCATTCAAAGTTAACTATACATCTACTTGGAAATGTTTTATGTTGGACAAATTCATACAATTTTTCGTTTTTTTTCGTGCATATATCGTTACATATCGTGTATATATCGGAATTTCAAACCCTACTTTCGTATATTGTTACGTATTATAAATAAGACCATGTTTCCACACATCCGTCTTACCTGTCTCTAACTTATCAGTATATCATCTTACCCTTACTAGAATTCCAGTGCGTAGACAGGTTGGTGGACGATTGGCATCGCCTGCTCATAAGGACTGCTCTCGTCCTAAACAGACGTAAGTTTCTATTCATTACCCTCATGTATATCTAATACCTATGCCTAGTACCTAATACAGTTATCACGTGTAAGAATCACATTATAAATACAGTGGTAGTTGTTTAAACGTCGTATCTTTTACATCATGAACAGTACAACACTACGCCGAAGCTCTGAGAGAAAGGACTGAGTCGGAATCGGCGTCTGAGGACAGCGCCAGCGTGGTGGAGGTGTACGTCGAACCGCCAGCATCACCGGAGCTGATCGACATCTCAGGTTCACCGCCACCATCACCCAGCTCCACCAGGGCCACAACAGATAGCCCACCGGGCCTACGAGTACACACCACGCTCGCCATCTACATCACCACCACCCCGCTACAACACCGGTACCACGTGGTGAATAAAAAATATACAGTATGTACTACACCCACGTGTATGCCTGTTCATTTTCCTATTATCGTTATCGTTCTACGGGTCAGAGTACGTACAAATAAAATCTCCTACATACTCTACGTGCCTATTCATACCCGTGTAGGGGTCATGATATAGCAAACGACATACAATTAACCCTACCTAGACCGGGGGGGGGGGCTAAAAGTGCCCGCGGCAACTTTGATGTCACCTAGCGTCTGAATGGCTAGCCGTAGGACGGCCAAACTTGGTGACTTTTCCTAAAATATTGTTGGCAACAATTCTCTATCATTGGAATAAGATTATCATTTTTTGTGTCGCTATGGCAACGGGTTTCTGACAGGCATTTTTGGCTAAATTTTGTACTTTTTGTTTCAACAATAGAATTTTATGGGTTTTATGTCAAGTTACTCAGGTTTTCTAATATTAATAACATTCCATATAATTTTATGTAAATTTTATCATTAAAAATGCATAATTTATGCTAATCATATCATTAGAACAGGTATATACAGGTTATTTTCATTAAAATTTCATCAATACTTCCATTTCTTTTTCCGAAAAAGGTTTAGATGAAGGTCTTTAGTATGTTTACAATGTATTTTAGGCTTATCATGAAAAAAAACAATTTTTAAAAATTCAAGATTGATGATCCAAGATGGCGGATATCTTAAATATGCATGACGTAATTTTGTGACGTCACCGGTGTTGCTATGGGCAACATAAGACTAAGTACACCCTATTATTCTGTCATAAGCACTTTTGGTACAGTTATGTTGAATACCATTTAGTTTTCAGGGAAAAACCTATTTAGACGGTTTTGGCCAATAAAATCACATTAATGACGTCATAATGACGTCATAATACATCATAACGACATAAAAATTGTAGATATGATAAATTTTCACTAGTATACCGTTCGCGAGTTCTTAGGGGGGGTCAAAAGAGCACCCCCCCCGGTCCCCTCATGTCAAAAAAAGCCCGGTCTAGGTAGGGTTAAAACCTTCTTTGTGTCGTGTGCCTGTCTTTCTTTCACTCGTGTAACACTACATATTCATGATGTGATTCCTGACAATACGCCGCTCCGGGTATATGACTTAAAAAGGTACACGCGCCAACTCCAAATGGTCGATCACTCGATGGCTTTATTCGGTGGCTATAGCAACTGCCAAGGCTTTATCACACCACATTCACCTCGGGGCAGGTCATTAACGCTATTATCATATAGCCTATCAAAACGTACACAGTACAGATTGACACTTTCCTGTATAACACATACAAACTTAAATTATATAACAAACCATTACAGTCACTCCTCTATCTTCCCGTCCGCTTGCCACTGTTCCTGTGCATCTTTCCCCGATTCCAAGGACCCACATATCGAGTCTAAATTGGCATCAATCAGTTCTTCTGAGACAAATTCTGACACAGCATTGTCTATTGTATGCCCTTTAGTGTGATCTTTTTACCTGTTCTATCAGAGTTCATATGAGTTCACCGGAACTTCGGAACAGAACCGGCATTCCATTTGTGGTTATTTTGGGCCAAAAGAATAGAGCAAGCTTCCGTTTGAAGTCATCTGAGGTCATTTGGATGTATTGACATGGTCTTTATTTTGTTATATATTGCTACATAAATTGGTTGATGACAAAATGGTTAGTATTTCTATTCAACAAGGAAACTTGCTACAAATGTTAGCAAAAAGAGTCAACTCCCCTGCAAATGGTTTGCTCCGGGCCGTGCTTGTATGCCTGCTCATTTCCTATTATTATCGCGCTGCGGGTCAGGGTACGTACAAATAAAATCTTCTACATACCCTATGTACTATTCACACCCCTCAACTATGCATACACTACCCATCAATCAATATGTTGCTGATAATAAACAATCATTATGATGGGAACATAGAACATCAATATTCAAATAAATATAGTAATAAACCCCTTCATGGGATAACTCAATCGTTGGTATCATCAAACTGAATAGACCAGTCAATCCCCAACTATGCATACATTACCCATCAATCAATATGTATCCTGCCATACTAGTAATGGCCTCCAAATAATGAAAAATGCATACAACAGTAATGTGTCAAACCTACAATGTAATCACAAGAGATAATAACTTATGCTGCAAGCAGAGACCAGATAAACACAGCCATTCTCAATCTCGGAGTGCTCATGGCATTTCAGAATGCGACTTTTTCGACGATGTCGCATGAACATGAAACATTAGGTGCAGTGTTGAACCAGTTGAGTTCGCAACTAATCCTTAATTTTGTCATTGATTTGAACAAGGAGGTTAAATACGTGTATTTAACCTCCTTGATTTGAATAGTCTTTTCTTGCCAATTACAGATCGAAATTGGTAGGTATAACCAGACTCCCCCACGTAACAGAATTTGCACTCTCTGTCACAGTAACTGTATAGATAGAGGATGAAGCACACTTTGTCTTAGAATGCTCGTTGTACACTGACATATGGAAATCCTTTGTCAGTTCCTTACAGTTAGAAAAGAAATATGCATGCTTACCGAAAATAGAAATGTTAAACATATTATGACATCCAAGCACTACGATGTAAATGAAAATTTGCCCATACATGTTTCAAAAAGGGAGAAGAGATCCTGTGATGATCCTGTAGACAGATCCTGTAGATACATCATGTAGATAGAGACGTAACACAGAAATGTAACATTCTATACTTGCACCCAAGTTATCTAACTTAGTGTATTTGGCTCATGTAGAGCGTGAATATGCAGTAAAGTTCATTGTCATTGTCATTCTATGTGGTGTGTGTGCGTGTTCATTTTCCAGAGCGAAGTATAGGGTCTGGTATCAGAAAGAAAATATTATATTTGATATTATTTATGTTATAATCATCAACAAATGCAATTTTCTTCCGTTTCCCATGGGTGCTTTTTGGTGCATTTGGGGTTTTCTGATGCACAAGATGTATAATATCACCAATCAACAGAGTTTGAAGAAAAGCACTTAAGTTTGGTGAAGTTTGAGCACCATTTTTGAAGCAAATGTTTGCATAAATGTTTAAGACACAATGTAAGAAGTTGTACATAAGTTACAAAAGTCAGATAGCCTCATACACTACTTGAGTCCTTTGATAATTCAAAGAACCAAAAATTACTGATTGTTGCCGTTGCTGCACTTTTAAAAGAAACATGACAAGACTATATGTCTGGTGCTGACAGTCAGCCATCTGGGACACGTGTTGTGGGATGTGTATTGCAAAGGATGATGGGATAGTATCATTTCCCCCCCTGGTCCGGTATATAACCATACAAATTCTGATCAAGTATTCATTGATTACTTTGATAAGAAAACTTTTGCCACGGCCTGCTCCTCCTGTAACAAAAGTCGCCAAGGTTGTGTTTTGCAGTTCAAGCTTTTTGACATGCTTTTGTATTTGTCTCTGCCATAGCGGTTAATAAAACATTGCTTGACAATATGTTACCCTGGTTATCTCAGTTGAAAAAGAACACGCTTAACTTTGCCTGACCTCTTCCAATGACGTCATTAAACCCTCATAATATATATCATATAAAAATATAAATAAATTAATTCATAATTGCACATAGATATTTCATAGTTATGAATAAATTAACTCATAATTATGAATATATCAATATAATCGATTGTATGTCGTTAATTAGCCATTAGCTATATTTCTGCATGCATCTGCATATCCTTAACATAAATCTGCATACGCATAATGATTGTGACCTCTGACCCAGGATTGTTACTTATTCCTTTTATCTAAAAAACCAAGGATTGTTACTTATTCCTTTTATCTAAAAAACCAAGGATTGTTACTAATTCCTTTTATTTCAAATCTATTTTCAGTATACTCAATACACATCACAATGATGTCAACACACGTCCTCCACTGAGCACCATTTTTGCAGTAATGACATTGTATAAGGAAACATTTTTCAAGTGCAGCACATGAGAAATGTTAACGTTCCAAGAATGGTCAAAATATTTGAAGAAGTTCCCTTCCAAGGCCCTTCTTGAGTTATTTTGTTTACAGACAGACAGACAAAAAGACAGACAGACAGAAAGACAGACAGACAAAAAGACACACACAACACGACACACACACACACACACACACACACACACACACACACACACACACACACACACACACACACACACGAACGTCTTGCTTTGAAAACATAACCTTGGCGAGGGTAATAATCCAGAGGTTCGGACTGAAATATGTTTCGTTTGCTCGCCAAAGTTGGATAGAACGATGCTTTTTAAAACCCTAAACGAGCCTCGCGGCTTTCGATAGGCCCCACCTATTATCCCCCGCCAGACAGAATGTATCGATTCGCTGCAATAAAGTAGTGCAAAGCAAACAGGACTCGTATACAGTAACAGTCAGTCAAATATGAAGATGACTTGGTAGTTACCACATAAAACTTTAACGATCCCATGTCTCTGAGGTGTAGAGTTCTTTAGCCCTTTATTTGGGGTTTTTCGACCCTCCAGATGGCTGAGCGGATGGATATACTTGTAATGCTGCGATTGTCTCCTGATCGTAGCGTCAGTTCAGGGCGGCCATTGTAAGGTGAGGTTTTGTGTTCTCTTCTTTGAAGTTGGAGTATGTTTTTTTTTGCTCACGAACCCGCAATTGTCGCATAGAAAAGCTGTTTCGCAGTGTATTTGGTTTTGTAGATGTTACTGGTGAGGAACCGTCTTGTTAGTTACGGTCACTCAAGGCGTTCAACCCGTAGTCCTTTGTTAGAAATCGAGATTTTTATTTCGTCGGATTTTACTTGGAGCGAAAACGATAATTCTGAATCTGATCGTCACATTTAGCTTATATTTGAAAAGGTAGCCTTTGTTGTGTTCCGTACTGAGCAATGTGGGTGTGAACTGCAACTTGTTGGTTATTTTTAATTCCTGTGCACGAAAATTTCTGTTACACAAGAGCCCTTTCTTTGTGTTTACTGAATAAGCTTGAGCGCAAGCAACCGGGTACCCGATATTTTAATTTATAGCTTGGCTATTTTAGAGTTGCACGGATAACTACAACACAGATATAATAGTGTAACTGTTACATTCACCCTCATTTCGGCACGTTTATCGACGTTATTATGAGAGCGAGAATAAAACTGTAACGGATTTTTGCAGCCCTTTATCTGCTGCCTATTGTTAAAATGTATAGTGAGTGAGTGGGTGATCGTAGACCACGAGGGGCCAATAGGAATTTGCATGACAACTGCCCCCTAAAACAACAGTTTGGACAGGATTTGAATGGATTATATCAGATCGTACGAGTCTGTACAATTGGCTACTTGTACTGTACTATGCTGCACACTCATGTTGAATTACTGTAAATGTCTAATTTTGCATGTGAGTACGTGGTCCTAAATGAGGTGTTCATTTTTACAGGTCAACCAAGAGAGGATTGTGACAAGATGGACATGGGTCTGGGTTTGATGACTGAAGACTTCAACAGGAGGAAACATCTCAGCATCGATACCAGAAACACCACGGAAATACAATCAGTCCTAGATAATAGCAACATTGAATCCAAACACATCTTATATGTTAGCATAGGTGACAAAAAAGCAAACACCGATTGGAACTGGCAGAACATCCAGCTTACTCGGGGTGTGTTAGTCAGGTGTTCTTAAAAAGCTGCCAAGCCTCTTGGAAACCCAGACCTCGGGGACTGTGCCTCTGGCTCAGTGGGGGCTTGTATAGCTAAGTTAGATGGGTTTGTTGGATGTTAATGCCTCAAATCAATTTTTCATGTTTGCTCTTGTCCCTTGATGCATTTTGCAGATGTGTTTGGTAAAGAAACAAAAAAAAAAGGGAACAACTTCCTTGAGATTGTCCAGTACAGTTCTGCATGTTGTATATTGTTTGGTATAATTAACACAATGATAGTGGTGCATTCTGTTGGTGCTACGAAATCGAATGATGTTCGTGTCTGGAATTCGATATCGGTGTAAGGCTGAACCGCACTCATGGTCATAGCGGTTGCGAACTCAACTGGTCCAACACTGGAACGTCGCATTCTGAAATGCCATGAGCACTCCGAGATCGAGAATGGCTGTGTTTATCTGGTCTCTGCTTGCAGTATAAACAGAACATAAGCTATGATAGTGATACTTTTTATCCATAAATTATTATCTCTTGTGATTATATGGTAGGTTTGACAGATTACTGTTGTATGCATTTTCATTATTTGGAAGCGAGTGAAAAAAAGACAGGCACGCGACGCAAAGAAGGTTTTATAATATATATATCGCTTGCTATACCATGACCCCACACGCGTATGAATAGGCACATAGGGTATGTAGAAGATTTTATTTGTACGTACCCTGACCCGTAGAACGATTGATAATAGGAAAATGAACAGGCATACACGTGGGTGTAGTACATACTGTATATTTTTTATTCACCACGTGGTACCGCTGTTGTAGCGGGGTGGTGGTGATGTCGATGGCGAGCGAGGTGTGTACTCGTAGGCTGGTGGGCTACCTGTTGTGGCCCTGTGGTGGAGCTGGTGATGGTGGCGGTGAACTTGTGATGTCAATAAGTTGATTATCTAAGATATTGATTATCTAAATAAGATAATTTGTCAAGAAATGTACGTTGATTATAATATGCTTGATTATCTAAATAAGATAATTTGTCAAAAAATGTACGTTCTGATTTTTTTTCCACATATATATAAATTCTGTTATGCTACTTTCCTTCAAAAGAAATCCCTATTCCTACCTTACACAGGTACCATTGTCTTGTAACTATTGTATCTCTGCATCTTGAAGCCGTGCTGTATAATGAGGTTATAACATTAATTTCTATAAACAATATAATGTACACTTACATTGGTTTTCACCAGTTTCGTAGGCAACGTGTCGAAGCATGGCTCGAGGTAGCCTTTTCGCAATGCTACCTTCTTCTCCTGTAATGTGCTGGGGGCTAAGGAGGACCAGGGTGTTGTTCAGACGTACCACAGGACTGAACACCCTGGCCCTCTTTCTGGCAGGCTGGACATTGATGTTGTTATCCAGCCTGCCCTCCAGCTCCACAACTCGTTGTTCCCTTTGCTGGAGCTGGACCCTTAGCCCCTCGACTTCTGCCCGACACTCTGCAACTCTCTCTCCTTTTGTCTGAGAGAGAGAACGTTTGTACTTTGACACAAACACCTGAAGCTCTTTTGGCAATTGTTCATATGTTAACTAATGTAAACTAGGACGTTTGTACTTTGACACAAACACCTGAAGCTCTTTTGGCAATTGTTCATATGTTAACTAATGCCAACTAGGACGTTTGTACTTTGACACAAACACCTGAAGCTCTTTTGGCAATTGTTCATATGTTAACTTCAATTGCGAAGTGCTTGGAATGACAGCATCCATTCAGCTTCTGCCTTAAAAATATTTGACTCAAATGGACGTGGAGGGATTACCTGTACTTTGAACATGTACATCTGATTTCGCGTTTCGGAAGTCGTGCAGAGTCTAAATCATTCTTCGTTTCATCTGAGTGACAATAGGTCTCAATTAATCTTCGGACTTCGGAACAACAGCATGTTGACAGAGTCTGGGTCAAGACCGGCTCTTTCAGCTGATACAATGTCCCCTGCTGTACTGAAGACCCGTTCACTTGGCACGCTTGTACCTGGCACAATGAGGTACTTCTTCACATGTCTGCTCAGGAGTGTTGACTCGTAATATATTTATTTATGTCTTTTTGAAGAGAAATACAGTCAATAACAGTTGAGATATTTTTAAAACATTTCGAATCATCAGCATTTACATGTAATGCCACTGTGTTACTAACAACAGAGGGTAGATCGTTAATGAATAACAGAAATAGGAGTGGCCCAAGTATTGAACCTTGGGGGACTCCTGAGAGAACTGGTAGCCATTCAGAATGTTCATTCTCTACAATGACTCGTTGTCTGCGACCAGTCAAATAACTATCGAACCAAGCAAGCAAGTTAGAGTGCACACCATACATTTTCAACTTGTGGACCAGAGATACAGTCGAAAGCCTTAGTGAAATCAAGAAATACAACATCAACTTGGCCGCCGTTATTCAGAATGGAACCGATTTTGTGATAAATTTGAAGTAGCAATGTTGCTGTCGACCTGCACTAAATGAACCCATGTTGAAGAGGATGAATTTGGTCTTTAAGATAAGGGAAGATGCGGTTAAACAAACATCTTTCCATTACTTTACTAATTATACTTAACAGAGAGATAGGACGGTAGTTTTCAACAGATTCCTTGCGGCCAATTTTGAAAACTGGACATACATTAGCGTTTTTCCACTGTGCCGGCACCCAGCCTAGACGTAGACTTTTGTTAAACGTGTCCCCTGGCCGGCGAGCTCGTTACGGACATCTCTGCTTTTGTGGTGGAAGTTCCTGTGCCTGTTGGATGGCACTAACCCCTTGTAAATACCAGCCAGATGATCTAGTTCATCGGCTTTAACCTGCCAACTTGCCACTGTAGATTGTAGTCCTTGTTGGTTCTGCGTGGACGCGCTAGTGTTGCTCGATGCCAGGAACGTGAGTGGGTCCTCCCCCACATGTACCAGGACCGCCACCGGGGCTTCCCGAAGCGCCGGGGTCGGTAAGTCGTTTAGCTTCTTTGGCCAAACGATGTGTTCGGGCCAAAACGGGGGCGTTAAATCACAAGACGAAAGAGTCATTTATGTCATCATGTATGATCAGATACAGTTCACCTCGTGTCGTGGTTGATGTCTGATTCTGTCAGGTTCTGTCGCATCCCCTGCACGAACGAATAAAATTCATTTTGTCATAGCAACCAACGACTGTTTACATGAATGGATAGCTATAAAGTCAGAAGGTATTGACTGGATAGATGGTCGTTCAGTGCTGTCAGTGCCCATACCTGTGGTTCTTTTCCAAGGTTGTCGGCAGGCAGATGTCGAACTGGGATGTCAAGTCTTGTTGACCAGTTGATCATCTGTGTGTGGTGCTCTGAAGATAGCAGAGAATGTTAAAAAGTGTTACTCCTATTTACTATCCATTATACCAACTGGCATTTATAATTACCTTAACATAGCCACATAAATCTGACAACCAACATGCCTCCATTCCTAAAGATGGTTTTCAGGTATGCAAAGTTGATGATATTAAAGTTCGCTTACTTGACAAGCACTTCAGTCTGCTCCAGTAGAAACACCTTCAGCTCATCTGCTGTCATCCTTATGCTGAATGGAGTGGCATCTGTCACGTGACGGTTCAGCCATTTCTCAGCTCTTTCTCTATTTGATGTTTCCTCCGTTGGGATGTAGGTGTCCCTGTTATAGATAATGAAATAATTATTGGAAACTGCAGTTCCTGGATGCCAAGAACATAACTCTAAATTTTCCACTTAACTACAAAGGTATATTAATTCTCACAGCAACTGGAAATTTTTATACATGACATCAGTTAAGTTTTTTTTTGCATGTATGGTGTTCTACGTGTATTTACAAGGTTTACTGAGTTAACACATCTAACTGTTCATCTTCAGAAGAGTACGCACTCCCGCTGTCAGTGTCCGATTATCGGTCGCCATCCTCGAGCTCCTGCTGTTGCTGGCGTCGCCTTGGGGGGAGGGGAGGCAGGCGCTCCAGTGTCCGGACCCTGTCCAGGAATGTCAGCAGGAGGTCACGCAGGAACCTGTAGGTTTTGGCAGTGCGGACCCTCTGGCCCTCGCTTCGGCGGGGATTCGTCACGCTGTATCTGAGGTACCTCGATGTTGCTGGTCTATCAACGTGTTCATTCTGTAAAAGAAAGGTACAAATCCAGTTGTTATAACTCTCTCACTCACTCACTCACTTGAATGATAAAGTTTCGAAGTTTGACAATTGGATCATACATGCAAGGTTATAACCGTTACGGTAACCAAAAAAGAAGAAAAAAATATGTTTCTGGTTTGAAGATAAGGCCATGGTAGGAGGACAAAAACAGTAGTCTTGGGAAGGGGACCCACTATATCTATAGCAATCCTCTTATTCGGATATCCGACATGTCTGTATTCGGGTATCCGGTATGTCTGCTCGCGTTACCTAGTGCTGACTTGTCTGGACGCTCTATCCCTGCCAGTTTATCCGCTAACACGGATCCTATGGCAGGGTAACTAAGCTGTGCTGCACTTATTTCTGCTGCCTGCACGCCCTCTATAGCTATCCAGGAGCCTTGTGCAGGTAGTCGTGGCGCACTTTGGCGCGCTTTTTGGTTATCCTGTCTGCAGCTGCAGCGAGGTCTTAACTTCTCACAAGTGCAGTACGTACAGTTTATTAGCTACGTCCGGTGGACATCCGCCAAGGAACCGTCCAACAGAACTTCTGCTTCTGACTCCTCACTCTCTGATTCTAAAGATACCTCTTCAGTCCCACTTTCATCCGATTGATCATCGACTGGCAGTAGTCTAAAACATACATGCAGTTTTTCCAATGTGTGCCCTAACCAGCTCAACTTTGGTAGATTTTTTCTTTGTTGGGGGCAGACCATGTGTTGTCAAGTATTTGCTCAGAGACACGTAGAGTTGACAGCAATCCTTCGTTGTACATAGACTCCCAGTTATACTCGTCATATTCTTTCTCAAGACATTATTTACGTCTATCATCTGCCAAAGTGGTCTGTACCAGCCTTACGTGCTCAACATACTCCTTCACATGTTCTTCTGACACAATGTATTTCTGTGCAAACTGGTGCATTATCAATAGTTACAGATTTGTTCTGGATAGCAGTTTTCAGCTGGGCCCGTGGCTGGTAGTCGTCAGGGAGTCGTCCGGTGTTTGTGGTACGGGAGATAGTGGAGTGCAGGGAGGTGTTTGTAGTCTGGATATGGCCGGGGTATAGGTGGTGTTGGTCCGGTGTACTCTTGACTGCTGCAGAAGGCACACAGTTCCTGCTCCTCGGACAGATCTGACAAAAAACAAAGGCATAAAATAAGATTCAAGCACTATGAAGGTTCCTGCTGGTGACAGTTTTCAATTTTATCTTCTTCATCTACAGGTGACAGTGACCAGCAGAGTGATAAGGACTTTGTCCTTGCCACTTGTATGTTTCTCAAGTACATAAACTTGCAATAAGCTTTGGGAACAGGCAAATGACATTGTTATTCTTACCTGTACAGTTCCATTTATACTCCATGTACAGTTCCCCGATCTTGACATGTTTGTCCACGAAGTCTTCAATCTTCTTACAGTAGGAATGTCCAGGAGCTCTGCTTCTCTGGGTCTTTCCAGTTTTGGAGTACTGCAACAGGTAGTCTCGACTGAAGAAAAACTTATGTCTTTTGTTTACACTAGAGCGTTTTGTACAATGATTACTTGCAGAATTTTTATCACTTCACACATACGTAACTGATTTTCCTCATTTCCTCACATAATGATTTATCTCCCAAATCTTTTGTGTTAAATCGTCTAGCTTGATACTCCTCCAGTAAGACTAAACATTGATCTTTATTTGTAGGTTAGACAGTAAATGCACTTGTAATCAGAAGACTGACTGTGTGCAGTGTAATGGTCAGAATAATGAACAGTAATTACCTGTTCGAAGGTTGGGAAGATCACATCGGTCAGGAATTCGTGAGCATCCTCTTGCTGCCCATATCCCTTTGCCTTTGAAAACAGGCTGGCAGCGGCTTGCTGTTTGATAGACAAAGAATCCATGCTCTCACATAAATATGTCTCTGGTCTGACCGGAGAAATAAATAAATGTCATAAGAGTGAACAAATGATCATTGGAATAAAAAAAATGATCATTTGTGCGACGTTGTGTTTGCTTTCTATACTTTTAAATCCATGGTCATATCCGTATATGTGACAATACTAATCCCACAATGGTGACATACAACACATGCAGTCACATAATAGAAAAAAAACACTTGCCACAACTTCAGCAAGACGAATAGTCCCCGGATCATATCTCAGCACCCGAAGGATTTTGCCAAGTTCATGGCACCGTCCAAATAATGACTTGGCGGCACCCGTCCCCATCCGTGCGGAAACTGTATTCAGAAGATGCATTTATATATATGTAAATTAATCACAGGATGCTGAATCATACAAAGGAGTAAGTAACTTTTGGAAGTGCAGA